GGGGGGGGGGGGAGAAAATTTTGTGAAACTACCCTCACCCGTTTAAGTGTTGCTCATTTCGGGGGATACATGATATATTCCGGGGGATACCGTCAGAATTTAAAAATCCGTGCCCTCATTAACGCGAGTTCCATTAAATTTTCGAATTAATTTTTCTCTATCGCATTTACACTCGTTTCATTCGTATTTCTCCTTTTCTAATATATATATATATTTTTAATATACTTTGTCGTACGTATTTTATGCTTTGATCCACACGGACATTATCGGCGACGTGTTACACGTCATAAATTAGTTGCAAGCAAATATTCTCGACGAAACGAAAAATTTAAAAAGCAAGAGTTATCCAATATATATATATATATATATGTATTCACCATTATATAGTACCTGGTTATTTTTATTGCCCTCTTTTAACCATCTTTCTAATTTACATCGAATAATAAACACTTGTTAATCCGATTATTCAAATTTAAATTAAAAAAAAAAGGAGAGAAAGAAAAGAATAATATCACGCGACGAACAACAACGCGACAAATGTTACATATTATGAATATATTCACGACATTCTTCTTTCGAAATAAAATATTCAGATTGTGCAAGGACAAAAGGGATAATGAATAAATATCTCCTTTGGAAGGGGGGGAGGAAAAAAACAATAATGCACGGATCTCGTACACGCGGAAGATTCCCTTTCCACCGATGAAAATAATTGCTTGCACACGCAACGGCTGTCCACTTCATCAGGATCTACTACGTACCTACCATCCATTGTCCGTCAGACGTTTTCACGGAATTGTCGGCTTTATAACGTCACGTCATTTACCGTCGAGGCATCTTGGAGCGGGGCGAAGTTGTTGTCTGGCTAACACAGGCCTGCTTGCCCGCGAGACAGTGAAATCACCGTCCTGGCCATTGTGTCCGTCGTGATGTGCGGAAGGGGTGAAAGTTTTCGAGGGATGATAGGCGCGAGAGCTCCTACGTGAAAAATATCTTTTATTAGGATTACGCGTTATCTCCACTAGAATTTTCTCTCTACGAATTTTATTTCAAAGTTGTTTAATTTATAAAAAAAATTGGTGTAATTATCATTGATCGATTGACTTGTTGAAATTTCATTCAAGAAATAGATTTGATTGTAAGAAATGTACGTGTTTTATTTAAATTTTAATTTTTTTTAGAATATTTAGAATATTTAGAACGAGAGGTTTAAAGGTTTATCCAAAAAGGATTTCCCTCTTTTTTTTTACTCTGCTGTATATTTTTTGCTGTATAAATTATAGTCGCCGCGTGTTACGATCAAGCGAACGAAAAGGAATTTTTGTATGTGGGATATAACGAAATAAAGTGATTTTACCAACTGGAATTTTAAACGAACTACAGCGTACTATGTTAGTGTAGGAATAAGTAATTAGACACGTACAAACTTAACTAGACTTTTAACAAGTTCGTTTTAATCTTCCCTCTCGAATCGAGTTGCTCGGGGATAACTTTCTATTCCTTTTCTGGTAATTGGTAATCGTCTGAAGCGGCTCGTGGAAACTTAAAAAACAGAAGAAAAGAAAAATATTTAATACTCGAAGCAAATACACGATGAAAATAACGAACGAACAAATTTCTAAAGCAATACAATTTCAGCGATCAAAAATAAAAATCGAAGTCACATATTTAATTATAAGATATAACGCCCCGATCATTTTAATCGTTATACAAGAAGAGGGAAGAAAAATTCAAAAAAACGGAACAATAATAAAAATATACAAGGAAAAAAATTTCGACAAATTTTCACCCCCTTCCTCCATGGGAATATCGCTTCACGACCTCGAACGCGCCGCCACCTCGTC